CCCCCCAACCCCACCCCTGCTGGTGCCACTGCATAAATAGAAATAAAAAAAACTAGCAGACAAAAAAAATAAAAGAAAACAAAAAACACATTAAAATAAAACTAAAACAATAATTTTAATTCTTTAACCTTTTAAAAAAGAAGATTTTTGTTTTTTGAGATCTGAACATGTTGCCATGCCAGCATTAAAAAAAATATCTAATGCTCGGTGTGACTTACTGTATTCAGCTTTTGTGCTCCTTTTGTTTTAAATAAATGTTACTCTTCAGAATTCTATTCATTCAGCTAGGATGTTTTTTTTAGCATTTATTAAAGAAAATCCAGTAGTAAACAAATTTCAGATTCCTTTTTAATCTCGGCTTTAGTTCTTTTCTTCGCTCACCTCTTTTTGCCATTCAGGCTGGCTGCTTAGGTACGGTCTCTTCAGCAGACTGTTCAGTTTGCTTTCATCTCTCTTGGTGAGGGGAATCAAGGACTCCTCAGGAACTCTTAACCTAAAACAGACAGTTTGATTTTATAGTGTTTGACTAATTAACCTAAAAATTACAGGACTGTCTTTTGACAGACATCATTTTTGCATTTTCAACAGACGCAGTAGAGATTAGCTCTGGGAAAAAAAAAAAAGACTGCGGAGACTGCAATTACATGTATCTTAAAATGCCCTTTCTCCTAAATCTGCACAAGCTGATGTATACTTAAAACACCATATACTCCTAAACACAGTTCATTGAAAGGGAAAAAAACGGAGTAAAACAGCAACAGAAACCAAAACAAACAATCTAAATGTCTGCAGAATATAATCCCAATTGGAAGGAGGAGGAAGTAGGAAGTCGTGAATGTTGAGTCCAAACCTCTGCAGGTCTGAGGGGAGGAGGCCTAGCCACATAACGCTGGGGACGGTCAGACTGTGGGCCTCAAATGACATTGCCTGTGGAGAAAAAAAAAACCCCACATTCATACACACAGACACACAAAATGTCTCCAATAAACACACAGATAATCAGTGCTGTGCCTCGACTGTGCCCAGCATGTGCTCACAGCGAATGCAGGGATGGTTTCGCTAAAAATGTGAATAAAGTAGGATGACTTATTTTATAAACACAACAGTTTAAATGTTTTGAAATGTTTAATTGGCCTTTTTTTTCAGATTAAAAAGCTGGGGCATCATAATTACATGCTGCCAACAGGAAGACACTGAAAAAGGCCAGACCAGACAACGTAGAAAACATAAATAACCGGCTTAAAGAAACTCACCACTGATCCATACTTGTAGATACACATGATCTCAATGCCTGGAAAAAAAAGGAAAAAAAATCAAACGGGAGAAACAGACACACGCTGCAATCACAGACATACCAGAGCAATTATCCTCTGCAATGTGTAACAGAGCTTACAACAAAGTAAAGATCTGCGTCTCGCAGTGCAGCAACAAAAAAATAAAATAAAAAGGTCCAGAAGTTTGGAGCCTGGCGTGAACGGAGCCATCTCACCTGAACGAGGGCAAGCCAAAATATACCGCAGCATACTGGACGTGTGTTAAAATGGGCTGGGTCAGTAAGACATACAGCCGTGTGTGTGTGAAGATATCTGCAATCAAATCGCTTGTACCATGAGGGTCGGCGTCCACCAGGGCGAAGATGGGAACGTGCAGCGTGTCCCAAAGTTTCCTCACCATCAATCGGCTGTTCAAGTCAGGCACACCTTTACCCTGACTCACACAAACACAACACGTTTAATGTGATTCAACACCAGCAACAGGAGTGGCTTAAAAAGATTAAAAGCAAAAAAAAAAAAAAAAAAATCAACCAACTGTGATTAGGATACAAGGAGATAGCTTTGTACAGAAGTCGTCATCCAGCAGTCTCTGGAACGTCGCATCCTTCTCGACTATCATGACAAATTTAGCTGATGATACGATATCTGAATGCAGTTAGGGACAGATAATACAGACACAAAGAAACACACACTTCACTGTTTATGTGCCAGACAAAAGAAAACTGAGAATACATGTTTTCAGAGGTGCTATGAAGGATACTTCTAATGCCGCTGATGTTTGATGAAACTGGGACGACCTGAAAACAAGACAGAACTATAAATACTGGATGATCACAGGTAAGCAAAGAGAAGTTGGTTCGATTTACAGCAAAGCGCTCGGCAGTACTGAAGTTCAAGTTCAACTAATGATCTCCAGGACCAGGATGCTACAGACAAGACAGAACATATCATTACTAAACATAAAGGTGAACACAAACTAAACGGAGGTTAAAATGCAACTTGTGGCAGCATATCAGTACAACACAACAAATCATTGTAAAAACACTCTGTGCAATATGTCAAAGTGACCACATAATGTGCACATTTACTGTGTTGTGCAATATGCAGAGGTATGATAATAAATAGTCAACAGATCTTCTGTATGTGTCAATCAGATATTGTTCAGTAGTCTGATGGCCAGAGGGAATAAACTGTTTGTCATTCTGGTAGTGGAGGCTCAGATGTTCCTAAAGCTGAAGAGCAACATTCAGGAACCAAAGACAGAAGAGTTTCACTGATGACGGTATTGTGCTGCAAAATGCAGCGATTAGGGGATTAAAAAGCAGCACTAAAACTGGTTACTTAGGTTGGAAGAATAAATATTGTTTTACATGTAAAACTGATTTTTTTGTTGAAAGGATTATGTACATTTGAAACGCGTCTTTGCTTCAATACAGCTGATTCAAATAAATCCATCATTAACATCGTATCGCCAATTTTATTGTTATGTCATTGTGATGTTGTTGTGATGTTACTGTTAATATGATGTTTTTATGTGGACCCCAGGAAGAATAGTTATTGCTGAGGTAATAACTAATGTGGATCGTTAATAAACTAAACTAAACTAAACGGGTTTTGCAGAACTTGATGAGCGGAGGTAACAGGGTATGTGTGTGTTTGGGGGTGGGGGTGGGGGGCATCTAAAACATGCACAAATGTGTTCCTCAAAGACCAGAATTGGACACCACTAGTCTTGATCATAAATCAGTTTACATTTGATGTCCTTATAAATTTACAGTTTCTAAAGTCAATTCGTGGACAAAGAAACACCTGCGATTTTGTTTTTTCCTCACAAGTTCAGAGCAAAACATAATAATTTACATACAATTATTTAAAGTAGCTTTCTTTTCAGAAAGGAAGTTACAATTTAAGTATTTATTATTTTTTCTCAATTGGAAGTTGTAATTATACAAACTGTGAGGAAGAGTCTTTGTGTTTCCTTGTGCCGATTGAAAATGTGGAACAATTTGAGTGTGGAGTTGAAGCAATGTCCAAACATTAAATTGATTAAAAAAAGGTATAAAGAAACTATTTTCATGAAATATAAAGATATGTAAAATATGGCTGTAAAAAATAAAAAATATAAAAAATAATAAAAAAATAAAAAATATGTAAAAAAATATGGCTTCTGTATTAAGAAATAGCATTTGAATTTTGTAAATGTGTATTATTTCCATCAGTGGTTGCATTAACAACTAAAAATTGATAACTAATGGTAAAGAGGTGGGATTAAATAAGTCTGTACTTCTTCCCACTCATTTCAACATGTGAGCTGTAAAAAGTGTACAATAATTGTGCACTTCCAACTATTTTTTGTAGGTTTTTCTTTATATTTTGTTTATCTCTTCCTTGCTTAAAATGATTGTCAGTATGTTAGTTAACATGTTCAAAATAAACCAAACAAACAAGCAAATAGATGTGCTGCATTAAACTGTGCCTACAAATATGATATACTCTGATATGATATAAACAGTCTTTTATACAAAGTGACAACAAGCGTGAAGCTGGAGAGCAGAAACTAAAGTGGAGATAGATTTCATAAGAGTTGAAATCATAAACAGCAGTTAACTGGGTTTTTATACAACTGTTTTCATGTTTGCACGTTTTTTTCTTTCCTTCATGGCAACAGAAACTTGTAGAGCGGAACAAAACAGAAACAATCTGACTCGTTCCGAACATCTCCACAGACGTATCTTCTCCACACGACATCGATTTTATCTGTCTCCCTCCAGGAACCTTACCTCTTTAAGTGCGACATTTAGCAAAACAATGTTAATAAAATCAGCAACCATAGATTGGATTTGTAATTAAATTTCTTGAAATGTATTAAGTTATGTCTATGAGTTATGTGGTAACAGAAAATGTCTTTTAGAGTATTGGTTTAGATTTTTTTTGATGGAACTTACAGCAGAGCTGGAGTGGCAGTCGATCCTTGTGCCGTCCTCTTCCAAGTAGCACAGATCACCTGAGATTAAGCCCTTAGATGTGGACAGCTACAACAAATATGTATATATACAGTATATTAAAAAAGTTAATACACACACAATTCAACTTAAAGTTACACACACACAAACACACCGCCATGCTGGATTTTTGACTTCCACATTAATTCTCCCTTTGTTTGATCAGTAAAACCATCTGACCTCCACAGGTGTTTCCTGAGATATGAAGCAAATAAAACACAGCACCAATCTAACAGATCTCATGTGTGAGATTCCAGCTTTTTCTTTCCAAAATAAATTTACTGCAAGAGTTTTTTTTATTATGTTTTCCCAGAGTATTAGGTTTTCTGTCAAACAGTCAGACAATAGTGTAACCCATCTTTCAGAATAAAAAGCCCATTTACCACATGCAGTGATCTGCGAGGAACCTTCAGCATGCAGGAGATGTCGTCCATTATGCTGTCCACAGACCTCTGTGACACGAACAGCTGCGTGTCGTTGTAATATATGTCTCTGTGGAGACAAACGTTACAGAAATACTCACATTTATGCATAAAAACCGCTTAAAGCCAGAGCTGAAATGTGCAGAAAATGAAATTATTTTTGACTTTGGTGAAAAGTGCAACAACAATAAATGACCTTTTTGTTGCATACGAGTTACTCTGAACCAGTTTGTAGATGACAGAGAGGATCTTGAGAATCTGAGCTTCAAACAGAGAAAGACTGATTTACACTTCACTCACAATTACAAGATTTAGGGAACATTTTCATAAGGCTGGATGAAAAAAAATAAATAAATAGTGAGAACCGAGATTTGATACAAGGTCAATGGAAAACACAAAGATAAACACAAGTGATATCTAAGAATGATTGTTGTTAGCAAATCTTGTTCTGACTTTAATCATTCTATCTGCAGATGAACAGCATGTCATGAAAACCTAGGTCATTAAAGGATGTCATGAATAACTAGCTTAAACATAAAAGTATTAGTTTCATTACAGATCCTTAAAAGCTTCCCTCAACATGTTCAGTCTCTGCCAATTTGTCACCTAAAACTAAATCTGACCGTTACTGCCGTCTGAGCAGGTTACCGATACAATTGTAACGGACACAAATTAAAGCCACATGAGGAACCACACAGATGGAGAGAGCTTTACGCTAAAGTAAACAAAAAAAAAAAGATGACTATGAAGCTAAAAAGGTCTGTGGACAACTTCTCACCGAATTTAGCCGCAGATGAAGGACAGTCACTCTTAATGGAGGTGACTGAATGTTCTGAACTCATCTGAAGCCCAATGGCGCAGTCAAAACTGAAGATGCAAAAGAAGGCAACAAAATAAGTCATTCAAAACAGATTGTGTGCAGCTTTAAATCCCAGGTAAAAACTTTAACTCCTCAAACCCTGAGGGCAACCTGTGAGAACCGTCCTCTTTAACTTACCCTCCTGATTCATCTTTAGGACCTTCTTAGATTTTTTTTTCAAAAGGGTCGAGCCTAAAAGTTCTTAAAGATGAGACAGGGTTTGATTTAAAGGGGACCTGACAGTCCTCTTTGTTCTCAGCATAAGGTCTCTACATCCCAGTCATTTTAAAGCTCTTTGTGTGTTTGTGTGTGTGTAAGTGCTGAGCTTTGTAATCCCTTATCACTGTCATCTTTTCTGAACAGGAAGCACTGTTTTTTACCCCCCAGTCTTTCTGTAGCAGTTGAAAGGTTTTCTTCAACTAATTTCTTCATCTTGCAGTCTGTTAAAGGCTCATCTTATGTAGATCCAGTCAGTAGATGAGTATTTCCTCTTTCAGGAAATTAAACAAAAACCCATTCATCTTGTGTGGCCTGAAGGTGCATATTTAAAAGGTGAAAAGGTTCAGGCCTGAGATATTGTTGAATGAAGATGGGGATTTGTTTAATCCACTCAAGACAAACTTGCACACAGTCCTCTAAAAGCCAAACAGTGCAGCTCAGTAAGAGAGAAAAAAGAACATGTACAGTAGGTCAAATGCTAATTAATTAAATGTTACCACAAGATTAAAGCAACTAACAACAACAGATTTTATCACAAAGAGGATAAAAAGGAAACCAAACACCAAAAATCACAGGCAATCGCAGTACTAGACAATATCAATACACTTTCAGTTCACAAAGACTGCAAATTATTAAGACAAAAAGACCAAAGGTAATATAAAAAAAATGGAGTTTCAGCATCACATCATCACATATATGGATGTGTGTTTCACTGCAGAACAAAGGTAGACAATGTTCCAAGCCTTTCCTGAAATCCCACTTTGAGAGAAATCATTTCATATTACAACATGGTTAAATCAAGTTACCTGACATTGGCCCAACTGGATCTGTTTGGCAGCACCAGAACAGGGGCCTTGTCTTTGGACAGACTGGTCACTATTCCCAGGATTACACTTTCGATCCGTGATAAAATTCCCCCCCTGGAAATACACAGTGAAGACATTTCTCTTGACCTGGACAGTGATGACTAACTTTACCTAAAGAAAACAAATTCTGAACTTAATGCAGCAAATCATTACAACACACAATCATTCTCAACTTTCTGAAGATTCTAGTCTGCCAATTTTCATTTTTATTATGTTATCTTATCAGAAGAGTATAATTAATTTATCAACTTTTATTTATTTGTTTACTTATTGTTTTATGTTTCTCTACTTGAGTTTACTGTACCTGCACTGAAACAAACACAAACTGACATGTTCTTAAGTGAAGTCCTTCTTGGCAATAAAGAAAATATGAATAATTGGTGCAATGTTTTGATCTTTGTCATTTAAAAATATTTATTTTAACAGAAATCTCAGCACTTTACATCTGCATTAATTAAATAATTACTTCTTAGATTAAGAAATTAAATTTCTGCACATTTTGAGACAATCATATTTGACAAATGTATCACCTGTTCATTATGTATGTGTGTGTGTATATGTATATATGTGTATGTATATATATATT